TCTTCTTCAGTGTTCTGGCCAACATCTTTGCTGATACCATGGTGATAAGATTGGACTTCTGGGATTTGTTGGAAGAGCTGGCCTGCTTAACAAACCATCTGACTCTGGGGTGCTGGAAGGTGGTGAAGGACACAGTGTTCTTGTTGTAGTTGATACTGGGATTCCTCCAGGCAAACCAAGGTATACCCAGGATCAAGTCAAACTTGATTGGGGCTACTATAAAGTCTGACTGTTCAGTGTAGGTTCCTACTGAGTACTGAAGACCTTTGACAAAGCCTATTTCTTGGTGCTTTCTGTCATCAGCCATAGAGATTTCTGCTCCAGGGAGAGAATGAGTCACCAGTTGTGGTGCCTTCTTGACAAAGGACTGTGACACATAGAGCTGGTTTGCCCCATTATCCAGGAGATTGGTTACTGGGATTCCTTGGATTATACCTTGCACAGTTAACAAGTGACTCTGGGGAATCCTTGGCCCTTTGGGGGTACTTAAAGAGTATGGAGCCACCTCTACTACATGGATCTTGCTTTCTTGGTAGGTGGTCTGGGTGGTCTGGGGTTCTGGGGTTCTCTGGGGTTCCTGGGTTTCCTGGGGTTCTAGGATTCTCTGGGGTTCTGGGGTTCTCTGGGGTTCTTGGGTTCTCTGGGGTTCTGGGGTTCTCTGGGGTTCTTGGGTTCTCTGGGGTTCTTGGGTTCTCTGGGGTTCTTGGGTTCTCTGGGGTTCTTGGGTTCTCTGGGGTTCTTGGGTTCTCTGAAGTTCTTGGGTTCTCTGGAATTCTGGATTCACTGGGGTTCAGGGGTTCTCTGGGTTTCTGGGGTTCTCTGGGGTTCTGGGATTCTCTGGGTTTCTGGGGTTCTCTGGGTTTCTGGGGTTCTCTGGGATGCTGGGGTTCTCTGGGGTTCCAGGTAAAGTCCATGGATAGTTAAAGTCTCAGGGGTGGTTTCAGGTGGGTCCAATAGGTCCAAGGGTTGAATAACAGGAGAGTGTACCAGGTAGTGGGTGTCAGGGTGGTGGTTCTTGATATCTTCCCCAGTAGAGGCAGAACCTCTATCTTCTACTGAGTCTGCTTGCCATTTCCCTGCTGCTTGGTCTTCAAGGGGCATAGGGGGGCAATATGGCCTGGTTTTCTGCACCGGAAACAGGCTCCCTTCTTTCTGAGCTCAGTCTTCTCAGCCTCAGTGAGTTTGGAGAGAGGCTTCCCAGAGTTGGTGGATATACTATCTATCTCCATAGGGACTACTCCAGAGTTCTCAGTCTTTGGGGAGTAGTAGCTGGTGGCCTGGCTTCTTCTCTGGTAGCTGAACTGGATCTGGTCAATCCTATCCGCTGTTGCTGCAGCTGTGGCTAAGTTGATGGTACTGGTGGGGTTGAGCTCCAGTTGTTCCTGAACCCTGGGTTTAAGCCCTCTGATAAACTTGTCTAACTTTTCAGCTTCTGACAAGTCATCCACCTGAAGGCATAAAGTATTGAACTGGTTTAGGTACTCCTTTACTGAGCCTTGTTGTTTGAGCCTGGCCAACTGGTCTCTTGCTGCTCTGGTGGCATTTGCTGGGAGGAAGTTCTCTTGAAGGGCTCTCTTGAACTGGTCCCAAGACTGGATTCTGAGAGGGGATCCTACTGGGTGGTTCTTGACATGGCTTTGCCACCAGACTTCAGCATGGAGTTCCAAGTAGGTGGTGGCTACTAACAGTTGGCCTTCTGGTGATAGATCTGCAGCTGCCTGGAAGTACTCTTCAAGTCTGAGGAGGTATGTCCTAATCTCTTGGACATTCCTGTTGCCTTTGTAGGGCTTCAACTTGCTTTGGAGGACTTTTACCAGGGATTTATCTACTCTGGGTTGGTACTGAGCAGTGGCTGGTGTGGTGGAGTTCAGCTGCTGGAGCTTTGCTTGATAAAGCTCCTGCCTGACCTGGTCTATGTCAAGCTCAGCAATGGTGTTGAAGTGACCTGGTCTATGTCAAGCTCAGCAATGGTGTTGAAGAGAATCTCTTCCTGGCTGGTCATGGTGGTAATGGGGTGGAGTCTTGGGTAGTTACAATATTACTTGTAACAACAACAATAGGGTGGGTCACAGGCCCAAGAGATGCAATGTTACTTGCAGTCAAGATAGGGTGGGTCACAGGCCCAAGAGATGCAATGTTACTTGCAGTCAAAATAGGGTGGGTCACAGGCCCAAAATATGCAATATTACTTGCAAGTACAACTGGTGGGGAGGATACAGGGGGACTCTACAGCTTCTTCACAATCCCACAATAGAAAAACTCTATCTGTTTTCTCAGAGCTTCTGATGCTAACCAAGTGGTGTGTTTGGTGGTAGTTCTGGAGGTTGTGCTGGGGGTAGGTTTGTGGTATGGGGTGGTGTGGGCTGGTCTGTAGGAGTCCTTGAGGGGGGGTTCTGGGCATAAGTTGGGTCTGGGATAAGAGGCAGGGGTCTTCTGATATTACTCAGAAGGACTAAGGCTGGGTCTGGGGTCTGGGGTCTGTTGGTCTTCTGATATTACTCAGAAGGTCTAGGGCAGGTTCTGGGGGTCTGGGGATCTTAGCTTCTGATCTCTCACAGAAGGTCTAAGAGTCTGGGGTTGTTGTCTAAGGTGGTGCTACCATGTAACAGGCTAGCAGGGACAAGAAGACAACAGAAAACTAGGGAAGACTTGGTTACTACTTGTTATTTTCCTTTGAGGAGCCTCAGAGAGGTCCTCTTTTTATAGACAAAGGGGCTGACAAATGCTATATCCTAACTACCCAATCAGATCTCACCCACATCATCCTAAGCTATTTGTCAGCCTATTGCACCATTTGCAACCAATCAGAACTCATACATGTCATCCTAAACTATTTGTCAGCCTATTGCACCATTTGCAACCAATCAGATCTTGTACATGTCATCCTAAACTATTTGTCAGCCTATTGCACCATTTATAGCCAATCACAAGTGAGACAAGTCATCCTAAATACACTGTGCCACTTGATTGAAAGGGGCAGATGCCAGTGTGTCAGGATACTCATCTAATTTAGCCAGAAATGGCTAAATCTGCTTATTTATCTAATTCTGGTCAAATGAATGCTGACACCATCAGCAAAGTCATGTGACCACTAGTTTGGAACCACATCTAACCAGTATAACCATAGCACTGACAGAAGAATTCTGTCACATGAGGCCAGCGTGGATGGCGGTGATGAGTGCAGGCTGTAATGCCAAATGAAATATGGCCTCTGCCAGTGTTGAGGAGGGTGCAGGACTGGCTGGTGGGGTGCACAGCCGTCATCTTCTGCATTCCGACACCCATATTTTGGTCACGGTAAAGCAAAGAAGTGTTTCCGTGCCAAGTAGCCACAAAAGTGTATCAGCGATGATGTGGAAGCATCCTGGTTTGTGAATGATTGTCATCCATTCGGACCAGTAACTAAGATCGAGGGCCCAGCGGAGGAGCTTTCGGTTCTCGCCTTTGTATTTGGCAAGCCACAAAAGAGCTCGGTGATCAGTAATGACTGTGAAAGGCAGGCCTTCGAGGTATGGGCAGAGTTTTCCGAGGCCCCAAATGAGGCATCCGGCCTCGAGTTCGACAGGGGGGGCCTTCTTTTCCAAGGTGGTGGTGCCTCGGGAATGGTAGCACAGCGGGCATTTAGAAGCATCCAGCTGTAACTGTTCGAGCATGACATTAAATGCTGTGTAGGAAGTGTCACTGTGAAGGGTGTAGGGGAACCCTTTTCTGGGTGCCGCAAGCACTGGAGCTGTTGTCAGCGCCTGCTTGGCAGCTGTGAAGGCAGAGTTTTGGGAGTCAGTCCATGAAACTTCACACTTTGCGACAAATCTGCACAGACCTTGGTTGGGGTGCTTGCGAGCAAGGTATCCGACACAAAAGGGGTCAATGGGCAAGTCGGCCAGCAATGATTGGCATAGATTGACTGCTGGTAGGTCTGAGGAGCTAGATTTAGGATGTTGCGAAACCTCAAATCGGGCTCCGGTTGCTGTGATTGATGGGGCCACTGCTGTGTCAAGCATGGACAGTGAATTGAGCTTTTCAGTGCCTTTCTTTGGGTCAGCGTGACCCTTTTTAAGGTCTCGGTATTCACAAATGCCCTCTTGGATAGCATCTTGCAGGGGTCGGATGAGTTCCACGTAGCGAGGGATGAATTGGGCATAGAACCCCAGAAGACCCACGAAGGACCATAGGTTGCCAATGAATTTGGGTCGTGGCCAATTGACTATGGTTGCAACCTTGTCTGGATTGGTAGCGAGGCCCTGGGAAGAGGCAACGAAACCGAGGGCCATGAGCTGGTGAAAGAGCCATTGACACTTGTCGAGTCTTAGGGTGAGTTTGGCCCTGGAAAAGCAGTTGAGCCAGTCCGCAATGGCATCTAGGGCTTCCATAGCTGTCTCCGCTTGTGTATGGATATTGTCGATGAAGTTGTTGATATTTCGCCATTTGGAGGGACCCAAGGTGTCATCCATCACCCAACAGAAGTGCGAGGGGGCAGTCTTGGGTCTGAAGGGCATGAAAGGTGGTTCGTAGATGCCATTGTGGAGTCTGATTGCGGGCCATTTGCGTACTGACATATCAGTGATGGCGATTTGGTAAAATCCTTTGTTTGCATCACCTCCTGATATGTATCGGAATGGGACTGCAACGATCCAGTTCAGGATGTCGAGCATGATGGGAAAGGGATATGGATCCCAGGCCATGCAGTCATTGGCTCAGCAATAGTCAAAGGCTACCCGCGGGGGTTTGTCTGTGTAGCAAATAATAACAGGATCGCTGGCAAAGGTTACTTTGGTGGTTCGTTTCCACCTCTGAAGCCCCATCATGGTGTCTTGCTCTGTCTCGAGGGCTGTCCGCTCCAACGGAGAGTACGACCGTGGCCTCAAAAGGGGTGGCAGAGCCAAGATAAATTGAGGTGCATAAGGAATCTTGGTGTAGTTCCCTATGAGATGACCCTCATAGCTGAAGGCTTGATGGAAGTGTCGTAGAATGTTGATTAGGGCCCAGACCATGGGTTTGGGTCATTTGAGATCGACGTGGAAATGTTCCGCGTCTTTTAATTGGGCTTCAAAGGCCCCTGGAGCCTTCTCTGTAGAGTTGAGGTTCCATTTGTTCCGAAGTGTCTGCCATTCTTCTTCGGAAATGTTCTCTTCGGGGTCCGCGACCGAATTATGGGTCGCGGTGGACAGTTTGAGGCCTAACGGGGCCGTTGTGCTAGCAGCAGTGGCCTCAAGAGGGTTTTTGATGAGAAAAGTTTGGGCTGCCATGCGCATCTGTCCTGTGATTAACATGGTTAATCTAGACTTCTGAGCTTTGGCTTTGGTCAGCCATGGCATTGACACATCCTTCATGAATTCACCCTGCTTGGTCTTGTATGGTGTGCTGTGCATGTGATCAGTGTCCAGCTCATCTGTTATGAAGCAAGGGATAAGGATGTCCAGATTCTTGAGTGTCACTGTGAAACTGGGTAACAGGGGTTCCTGAACCAAGATTTGGAGTTTCAAATGTCCCAGAACATTGTTGGCTAGGATGATGAGAGGTTTCCCATATGCAATGACTCAGAAATAGGTGCGGAAAGTCAGGTATTCTCCTCTGCAGCCTCTGAGGGAAGTTTCGAGGTATACTGTCTTGGTAGATGAGATACATCCACCAATGCCGTTGAAAGCCATCATTTCCGCATCCTGCAAATCGGTTTCGGAGAACAGAAGGCCCTGGTATGTGTCAGAAATCAGAGACTCGCAGGCTCCTGTGTCTAGTACCACAGGTGCCCAGAGCTGAGCAATGATGGCTAGTGTCCAGCAAGGCTGCGTTTGGGTCTTGGTCTGGCTTTTGAGTACATCGCCTAAATCTACCATGTAGAAGGCATTGATAGAAGGCACCGCGACCTCGAAATGGGGCGCGATGTCGTTAATTGTTGCTTCCATAGCCTTGATCAAACTCTCAAAGTGTTCTCTAGGTTTGTCATTTTGTGGTTTTGTTGGTTTATTCTGGCAAGCAACTTGTTCAATAGCCAGCATGACTATATGCATCCATTCACTCTCTTCGTGTCTTTGGAGACATGGATGGTCTTTAATGTGCAGGAATTTGGGGTTTCCACAACGATAATAATAGTCTGAGTGAATGATATTGCCTGTCAGGAGAAATGCCACCAGTTGCAGGTTGGCATAAGAATCAAAGATAACAGGATCTTCAGAGCTCCACATCAAGAATTTCTCATGCTCATCGAGCCTTATCCAGGCAAGGAGGATCAAACGAGGGGTACCATCTTCTCGGACCTTTCGCAGGATTCGATCCTTGTTAGCTTCAGCTGTGGCAGTGATGTAGAGGTGGTGGGAACTCCATGCAACTGCATAGGGGTTGTTCCCGAGGTGCCTGGTGCCTCGCTTCGGTTCTTTGGCAAAGAAGCTGAGCACACGGGGGTTGTTGCCCATCATCAGAGCCACTTGCAGGGTGCCCCAGATGATGGCTATTTTGTCCCAGACTCGGTCCCAGCCCTGTGTGGGCATGCAGGGGTCCTCTTCCTTAGTCTCTGTGACCTCGGAAAGAGGTGCGGTCATCAAAATTGTTGATTCCAAGTGCTTGGGTGAATGAAAGAATCCGATGGTGTGGAATCCTTGATTAGCGGCGGCTGTCCTTTCCAGTTCCAAAGCCAAAAAAAGAGTCTCAGTGGTAGCGGACGTCAAGTCCAGCTCCACTATGTAAGACTTCTTGGACTCCTGTTTGGGTTTCCAACCTGCGGGCATGGGTTCTCCATATGGTCCCTTCTTTCCATCTTCAGGATCTTTTCGGTTCGGGTTCTGCCAGCAGAAAACATTCCAATGCTTTTTCTGACAGAATTTGCAGGGTGCCAGTGGTTCCTTGTTGGGGTCCAGAACCATCTTCTGAAGACCATTGTGACCCTTTTCGGGGTTTCTGGTTTTATGTTGAGCCGTCTGCTTAGGGCCTTTGTTGGTTCTGGTCTTTTGTGACTTCTTCTGAGCTTCTGTGGCACCGCTGTAGCAAGGGTCTCATTTTCTGGTGTCATCAGAGCTGAAATAAAGGCACAGGAAGTCTTTTAATTTGGTCAGGTTCATGATGTTACAGGATTTGACCATGATTTGGATGTCGCTGGGCAATTGTTCGACTATTAGGTCGAAATGCTGGTCAGCGGGACATTCTATGTTTGCCCAGTCACCATATGTGAGGTGCCGGAGATGAGTTTTGTGGTCAATGAATGCAAGAAAGCTGCGAAATTCTTTGGGGTTCACATGGCAGTGCACATATTCAGTTTTGCACTTGGACTCAGTTAGGGGGTCTCGGAACTCTCGAAGCAGTTCTTCCTTCCACCTTTTCCAGGTCCATGAGCGAGTTTCCTGGGCTTCCAGAGTGTAAAACCAAGCATTGGCAGGGGTTTTCTCGGCTATCATGGCTGGCAGGAGCTGTACCATCCTGGCATCCAATGTTGTGCTAACATTTTGAAGAAGTTGGACTTTGTTAAGCCATTCTTCAATGCCTTGGTTTCTTCGACCCATAAACTTGGGTATGTCCTTTGCTTTCAAGGAATTGACCTTGGTGTCACTGGCCCACGGGGCTGCTGGCACTTGGATTGGAGGCACCACACCTGAAAAACTTGGTTTGGTATGCTCCCTTGGTGTGTCCGCCATTTCCCACCGCGTTGCGGACCATTCTCTTGTAGCTCATGCTATGGGAGGTTGTTCAGGCAGCGGGTGATGCACTAGGGCTTCTAAGGCTCGTGCGAGGTGCTCATCCGCTGCTGTCTGACATTTGGAAAGCCTATGAAGCTGTTCCGTAAGGTTTTGAGTTGCCAACTGCATTGCAGCAGTCGAGTGGGCAATGTCTTCTTTTAACGCTGCCACTTCAGAGGCCATCATGGCCAAGCGAGGGGCTTCCGGCTCAGCGGAAGCGGTCCCTGAACACCTTGGGCATGTTGCGGGAGGGACTTTGACGTCCTCCGCAGGACCCTGACTACAAGTATGGATCACAGGTGAGCGGCCTTGCGTTGGTGAGCGTTTGACTGGCATCATTCTCAGTTTCGTGAAGTTCTGTCTCTGAAACAAGAGAAAAAGTTTCTGAGTAGCTACCTGAGTGGATCTCGGTTTGTGCAAGAGTTTCGGTATGACCGAATAAGGTTTTCAGCTGAATTTGAGAGGGGAAGGCAGTTCGTCGTGCTTCTCCACCATGTAATGGATTTTTTGTAGGTAGACTATGGTAAAGACAACTTGGGTCTCCTAGCAGGTTATGGGGGTGGCCGTACTAGGAATCATAGTCTCCAAATCCTTTCTTTGGGTGTCGGGAGCGAATTGGGGGCAATAGGCAAGGAGAGTCAGTTAGTTGTGAACTGAGCAGGATTTAGAGGCTTCAGTGCAGGTGATCAGGCCATTGAAGCGCTCTGTTAGGTTCCTGGTAACCTAAGATTGGAGTTGAGAAGCTAGTTGTGGGGATTTAGTGTCGCTACAGCTTCTGCCTGCATCTTGTTTCTATTGAATACATCCTTTTTATACAAGATTCTTGGATAAACTGTTAAACTAAACTAAACTAATGGGTACCGCTGCACCGCAACTGATTTATTGGTGGCGGTACCGATCTCTTCCTTTTCTGCACTGGCTCGGGCCTCCACAGGTTGTACGAGGCATGCTGAAATCTAATGCACCAATTGCCATTCTCCGAACCGGTTTTTTCAGTCACGGTAACCCAATCGGTGGAGTTGGTCACGCGATTCATGCTTCCTGCATCCGATTTGGGCTTACTGGCGATCTCTCAAAGATGACCTCATTGTTACAGGTGTTGCATTGGATGCAATCACATGGGTCATGCTGGGAAAGCCCAGTAGTCCCAGGGACAGCCCCACTGGCTGAGCCACAGAGCTCAACCGGTCTGGTTATCCGGAGCAGGATGCGACCTGGGGTGGAATTTTGCCATTCATGTGAGTAAACCTTTCGTATAGTAGTAGTCGAATTCAAGGGCCAAACTAATGTATACCTCACTACATAGAGATAGATAGAGCTCTTGTTTCCAGACCAAAAGAAAGGTCAAGAAGAGATTAAAGCCTTTGCTACTGCTGCAGGTATAATCTGCAGTGGGTGTAAGGTAGACCTGTCCTTTGGTATTCGCATGCAAGTGTGAACTTAGATTTTTGTGATGCATCTCATTGTCATATCACCATATATAGCTATAGTGATCATGTAGCCATGTATGGCCAAAGTATGGCACAGCATGTAACAGTAGTTAGATTATATAAGCCCTGCCACACTGATGACCTGTCAAAGTAGTTCAGTTCCACAGCAGCCCCATAGTTAGAGGATTATTTGTCCCTTTATTTTGCTAGCACCAATCACTTCTGATTGGTGCAAGAGGGACCGCACTGGTGGAGGCAGGAAATCTCATGCTGATGCCCCACTGAAGGAGGGAGCAAGCATAAAAGAGCGCTGCTCCAAAGCCCCTCAAAAAGGGAAAAAAAAGGAAAAACTAGAAGAACAACTAGCCCAGTTAGCAACTTGAGGAACTATCAATAGTTCCCTTTCTCTTGTATTAACAACAAAGTCTTTATACAGCCCTCCTGCAGGGCCCAATGATTCACAAGAAAATGTCGACTAGAGCAATCTGGTTGATTGACATTACAGGCTGACCCCTGGAGCAGCTTCACCCGGTGCCCACAGGGACCATTTGCTGAGTTGTCACTCATTTCTGGTCATGTATATACTTTATACAAAAGTGTGCTTATTGCTATCTTAGTGCTAGGCAAGCCTTTACTTTTGTTGCATCATCTTTGTACTAGCAGAAGCCCTACTGAATATACATGCATACTTGGAAGCTTCTTTACATACAAAGAACTAGTTGCTTCATCCTTTTAAATGGAAGTGTATTTTGCTTTCCCCTCTATCATTTGTATTACCCACTGTCAATAACATCTTTCTTCAAAGAATGTCTTTTCCCCACATGGACATCACAATATGCCTTGGTCCACACTTGAGACCAACTGCACATGTAAGCCCTGCATGATTTATGCAGGCACCTTGCTCATCACATCATGGGAGTGGTTATGGAGGTGGTGACTGTAGGTCATTGCCTCCACAGTCCCATGCATAGTGTTTGCATGCTTGGGTAGGTCATTGTTTGTTTTTGGTTTCTGTTGCCTTTCATGTTGTTAACTGGAGTGGACTGGATTTAGATTTTCAACCAGTCGGGGGCTTGAGAGTATCTTCAAGCCCAGTCATTTCCAACAAACCCCCGAAGAACATATTGCTTTTGTTCCATTTTGGGCTGTTGGGACCTTGCACTCAGGGTTTGTGGTTGGTGTGGGTCTGTTGGGTATGCTTGTATACTTGTAATAGACATCATCCTCGTAAATATATGTTTCACATTCTTAATGTTCCATTTTCCAAATCTTGTAAATGTTTGTCTGTCAAATGTGGTGGAGAGGTTCCCAAGTGTTTTTGCTATGTGGGTATCCCTTCCATTTGATGAGGAATTGTGGTTTACCGAGTCATCAGCATTGGTCAATAATCTCCTCAACTTCATATTCAGGAATCCCTGTGATATGAACAGGAGGTGGAAGTACTATTACATTCCTGTAGTGGTGAGACACTGGGTCTTCATATTTCTTTAGGACACTAACATGGAAGATAGGATATAAAGCAGATAAGCGAGTATCCTGTAGGTTGAGCTCGTAAGTGTCTGGGTAAGGTCCTTTTGCCTTGACTGTGTAGGGACCAATCCAGCTAGTGGCTAGCTTTGCTGGTTTTCACAGACTAATGTCTACCTCAATCCCTTTGCAATTGAGTAGGACCTGGTCTCCTACGGTGAAGGTAATAGCTGTGCATTCTTTGTCATAGTGTTCAGCATATTTATCCTGTAGTTCCTTCATGCAGTGTTGAATGATTATGGCTATTTCATCCATCGCTTTTTTGATGTCCTTAATCTCATTTCAGTCAATAGGTTTCATTGTTTGGAGTTCTGTGGAAGTAATGACTCCATCTGCTTGTAAGGGCATCCACCTGATATCTGCCTCGAATGGTGTCAGTCCATGTTGATTCAGGGTGTTGTTCAATGCAAACTTGAGGAGAGGAAGATACTGTGGCCAATTATCTGCTGCATAGTTGAGGTATGGCCAATATATGGACTTTACTGTCCATATCATCCGTTCACATTTGCCATCAGTTTGTTGGTGTTGGGCGCTAGCAAATTGGTGTTTTGTACCAAGGATTTTACAGAAGGCCTCAGAGAAATCAGAAAGGGCTTTCGGGTCATGGTCTGTAATAAAGATCCTGGATGCTCCTACATTCTTGTAGACTTGGGACAAATATGTCTGTGTGAGATCATGAGCATTGGAAGTTTGGAGTGTTGGTACAAGGATGGTCTGGCTAGTCAAGTAATCAACAAAACAAAGAATGGCATCAGGTTGGAATCCATGGGTGCTATTGCCTGGAGGCATATAAGTCATATCGAACCCGATCATATGCCATTGACTGTTAGGGATTGGTAATGGTTGCAAAAACCCATGCTTCTGTAAAGGGTTCTTGTATTGTTGGCATTCAGGACAAGTCCAAATGTATGCATAGACATCACATTCAAGGTGAGGCCAATAGAATCTTCATAGAACTTTAGTGAATGTGCATCGTTGACCTTCATGCGAGCCATCTATTAGGCTGTCATGATATTGCTGTAAGACTCTAGTACGCTGCATTTCTGGTACATATAGCCAGTCCTTCTCATAAGTTAGGAGGTCATTTTGTATTGCATAGGGTCATAGCCTTGACCCTAAGGCACAGGCTGGTGTTGTCTTCAACATTTCGATTATCATAAGGGCATAATTATCTTGGCTCAGTGCCTGAATCCCTTCTTCGTGATTGAATGGCATTAGTGTGGTCTCAGTGCTGGCGACTAATATGGCTTGCAACTGGATTTGTTGTTGACACTCTGCACATTGGGGCACATAGTGTGGGTTCCTTGAAAGAATGTCCGCAACATGGTTAATTTGTCCAGGCATGTATTTGATCATCATGTCAAATTGTTGTAATGTTTTAACCCATCCTGCATCTGAAGGTAGATCAGACTTTTATGGTCAGTAAAGGTGCGGAAGAAGATACCAATCAGATATGGGTGGTTATGTTTCAAGAACTTGACTAGGGCTAAAAGTTCCTGTTCATGAACTGGATACCGTGTCTTGGCAGGCTTCATCTTATGGGAGTAAAATGAGACTAGTCATAGATGGGGTAGTGCTTTAAGTTCTTGGATGGTTTTTGGCAATGGAGATGGTATCTCATCTTCTGGGTCTGTGGTCTGGGCTAGCCATCCACCAATTGTGAATCCTGATGAATCAGTGAAGATGAAAGTGTCTTTGGTCAGGTTGAAGGTCACCAGGATGGGTGCAGTGGTAATAGCATTTTTGATCTTTTTGAATGCCGCTTTTTCTTCCTCTTTCCATTGCCATGTTTTCTTTCCAGATTGTAGTTGCAAGAGGGGCATCATGATTTCTGCATATCAGTTGATGAAGTCAATGAAGTAATTAGTTAATCCTAAGAATCATTGGACATCATGATGGTTTCACAACTCTGGCCAGTCTTGGACAGCTAGAATCTTGCTTGGAGTGATCCATATGCCATTTCATCCAATAATGTGTCCACAGAACTTGACCTCAGGTTGTCCCCACATGCACTTGACTGGGTTCACATAGAGTTTGTGTTCAGTTAAGACTCGAAGCACAATATCTACATGCTTCTGGTGTTCCTCCATTGTCCTGGAGAATACCAGGATGTTGTCGAGGTAGGCGAGGACTAGGTCATCATAATGTGGGCTGAGGATCTTGTTGATGAGGCACTGAAATGCAGCTGGAGTGTTAGTTAATCTGAAAGGCATCACAAGATACTCAAAGTGTCCAAATTGTGTATGAATGGCAGTCTTTTCCACATCATGTGGGTTTATTCTAATGCGATGGTAAGCATCTTTGATGTTGATACTCATGAAGAACTTTGCACCAGCTACACAATCTCGCATCTCCTGTAGATTTGGTAGCAGGGTCCAG